CCGTGTCCGTCTGCCCTCTTTCCCCCCGGTCCCCCCTGTACGTCCTCCCTGCCCCTCGCCCTCGCCGTCGCCGCCGCTGGCGCCGACACGGCGTACACGGGGACCGAAGGGAAGAAAATCGGCGAGACGAGGAAAGGTGCGAACGAGCGACGAGGACAGCCGGCCATCGGAGGCGGGGGTAAACAACACCGTACATGTACCCGCGAGTATACCTTCGCACACAATGCGAAAGCTTAATGCATCGCCGAGTGGGCACTCGTACGCGGTCATGTCCCCGGCCGTCTCCTCGGGTTTTCGGCACGGCGACGAGCGAGGATTAAACTATGCTTATTATTATAACGAGCGGCGATTTGGCAGTTGGCACTCTCTTTCCGGGCGGGCGCGTTGCGCGCTGTGCAGAATCGGAATGTGCAAACGGAGAGACGCGCGAAGGATGTCGCATTGTGTCCGGTAGACACGAAGTCTGAAAAATCATATCGGTGGATAATCCAAATTGGTAGCGCGAAACGAAAACGGTCGGGGCTGTAATGCGGAATAACGCGGGTGAGATCAGAAATTCACAAGGTGGATTTCGTGGAGCCGAGATTTTATAAGATGCCACGATAAATCTGCAGCGTAGTTAATGAGAGACGTAATATTCCGACACGCGCTCCTTTCATATATTTTAGAATGCGCGCTCGTCTGCCCGTTTGCGCGCAATTTTCGTGCTTTTTCTACGCGGTTGAGAATCGCGTAGAATAGAGTCTGCCAGTATTAAAAAAAAAAACACGTAAGAGAAAAGCCCGAGTATGTTATAAAAATATTTATTTCACATATTTGCGCGGAAACAATAGAGAATAATGAGAGTAGAGAGGTAAATATGTTATCACTTGCGCGGATAAGCGTGATGTGCTCCCCACAAGCTAAAACGCGAATGCTGCAACAAGAACGTTTGGCTCACCGATATGTAACAATTTCAATAAATACCATGGACAGATATGTTTTCCATGCGTGCACTGATAGAAAAATATGTAGTATTTGAAACTACAATTGTGCATAGTAAAATAATTATCGTCGCGAATATCATTTTTATAGTAATTATTACTATAATATTAGGAATAGCAACCATATGACACAGTGATGCCAACTATTTAAGAAATTTACTATAAAATATAAGCTTTTAACTATTATTCTGTTAAAATATCCAGGTAATGAATTAGTTAATTATTTTTATATAGTAAATGCAATCACAATAATAGTAAATATAACTACATTTCTATCAACCACCTTACCAATCACATGGTAGACAAAAGTGAAGTGGTTCGGAATGTCCTCACTAGAGGGACGCGCGGTATAAGACTTTCTCGTGAGAAGAAAACCGCATAGTGTCATAGTCTATGCATTCGTATAAGATTACTTATCTTTTCTTTGAAAGAGGCTTTCTTGCACTATTCTTCATGAGTGCAAAGTGATGTAACCAATGAACATAGTGAACGCAACGTATATATAATAAAATGCGGGGAATATTACTTCTAATATAAGTATACGATTATTACTATTACATCTAGTTATTCGAAATTTTACTTGTGGTTGTTATTGCAATATGTACAGTACACTTTACCAAATTAAAAGCTCGTTTTGGTTTATGACAACCATATCGTAAGTTGCGTGGACCAATATTGTGTCTATGAGAACTATAATACATTGTTAGGTCAACCATAACTTATGTGGTTGGAAGAATTGTAAAAATGTGGTTGGCTCCTAAAATAACTATAAATTATAGCGAGATTGTGATAACTGCAACCATTTTTTCTGTCAGTGTACCACATAGTAAACGGCGTGGGGGGGGGGGGGGAGGGTTATTTACCGCGTGTAAAAAGTACCGCGTGAACCGAGGGACGGGAAAAGTTGCGAGAAAGCGCCCGAGACTGCACGTTCTTATTTTTCCGTAATAACGTTTGACATTTCGCTTATGCGGTGCAATGGCTGCGTCAGACCCGGTCAAACATATAGATTGCGCGCGATAAATAACGGAGCGGCTTCGATCGGAAATAAAATGCGCGCGATGTGTCGCAGTCGGAGCGTGTACTCTCCCTCCGGTACTTCTAGATTCCTATGTCGGGCGTCACGAATTCATTACGTAGCGAATTATTGAGGCCGATATCGCGCGGTTAAGCTCGTCTCTGACGTCTTTGTCGCTAAATAAGGAACGGGCCGGGGTGTCGTGACACCGATACCGTAATTTCGCCGAGGAACAAAGGGTGGGTGGCGCGAGGGCGCCGCGGGGCGGGCGAGGACCCGCCGTCTCTCGCGTAGATACGAAAAACACGTGAGCGCGCGTATCGCCGCGCGGTATCTATTCCACGATTAACCCCCGACTCGCACCCCCGCCGCCCCTGCCATTAATTATTTTCACTGACCCGAGGTACGTCAGCGTGTACGAGCGTGTGTGAGCACGCGGACGAGATACGTCCGTTCTTTCTTCTCTCTACGGAGCGACAATCGACAAATTTAATTCGATCAATGCCAGAGCCGAGATATCTCGCTTCGAGCGAGATGTCAGCTTTTTATTTTCAAACTGGTATTTTCAAGTTCTAGCCGCGGATACGCGCATCAACCGCGAGAGAGGTCGTGAGGCGAGCAAAAGAATCTCTCTCAGCCTAATAGGCTCGTCGTCCCTTTTGACTTTTTAATTCTCCCTCTTTCTCTTTGTTACACACGCATACTTACATTTGTATTTTATTCGTTAGGAATTGGCGAAGAAGACTTGTATATTCGAACTGATTATTGTAACATATCAAGTATTTAATGATTTTATATATAAACTCAAACTCTCAGAATGTTGTGTAATACGATTGGATACAACGTTGTCATCAATATCTTCGTCAAAGGTATGAATTTTGTCAGTCGACGACGATCAACAGGCGCTGGTGCAGGCGTCATTGAATCTCGCGTAAGAATCTCGCCACCCCCGGCGGGAGTACGGAGGTGCGCGAACTTTGAGCATACACGTAGCCGAGCCACGCGAGGAGAGGCCGGCGCGGAGACGACGCGCGGCGCGGCGCGGTGGAGCATACCCGCCGGAACGGAAAAGGGCGGAAAGCGACGAGCGCCGCCGAGACGGGACGAGACGCGACGAGGAAAGACGATGAGGGCCGACGAGGGTCGCGTACCGCGGCGCTGAACGCAGTGCCATCCGATAGGCAGCACCGCTTGCTCCGCGGATCTTCGGCTCGCTCCGGGTTCGAGCTCTCTCTGCGCTCGTTCAAGCTCCACCACGCTCGACTCCTCTCTCTCTCTCTCTCTTTCTCGCTCTTTTATTCTCTTTTACTCTCTTGTCTCACGCACTCTCGTTTTCTCTCTCTCTCTCTCTCTTTCTCTACACACATACACACACACACACACTCTCTCTTTCTCTCTCTGTCTGAATCCCGCTGTATCGGTGTGACGCGGCTGCGGCAGTCGCGACGACGACGACGACGACGACGACAACGACGAAGGAAAAGTCGAGCCGCCGCGGGTGGAAAACGCGGGACGCGTGCAGCGGGAACGCATCGCCGCCTCGCATGTGTCCGGCAGCCGCGTGTGTTGCGCGCAGCAGGCCTATACGTGTGTGAGCGCGCCCCGGCGCGCGGCGTGCCGCTCCGCTCGCTGTATTGCGAGCGTGTACGTCGCCGTACCTCGTCGCGCGACCGAACGAGAGGAGAGGCTCCCTTCCCCCGATGGATGCGCGGCAGTCTGTATGGTGCGTGTGTCTACCTTCTCTCTCCCTCCGCCTGCGTATCTGCATCTACCTATTTATTTATCCGACCGTCTGCGTCCGCGCTCGCTTTTGCCTCCGCTTCTCTCTCGCTCTCGCTCTCTCGCCCGCGCGAGGCTGTCCGCCTCCTATCTCTTTGTCGCGCACACTCCGCTCTCTCGGTCTCTCCTTCTCTCTCTCTCCTCCCTTCTCCCGCCCGTCCGTCCGTCCTCTTTCGTTCGTTGATCTCACTCCGTTGCGTGTCGAGGCGTCTGCATCCCGCGATCCCCGACGCCGTCGCAACGTGGCGGTCGTGCGAAACTCGGCTCGCGAGACACGAGCGTCGGGGACTCCCGTCGCCGCTTTTCTGCGCGTATGCAAAAGAGGATGCCTCCTTCTCGGAACGCAACGGAGACGCAGCATGGCCGCCTCTGGCGGACGAAACAAATCGGAGTCCACGCCGGTGTCCACGCGCTACGCTTCTCGCGCTGCCATCCCTCTTCCTTTCGCGCCTGCCTCCCCTCGCCCCATTCGCTCCTCTCTCTCTCTCTCTCTCTCTTTCCTTGTGAATTTACAGACTCTACGCGTGCATGTGCTTCACAGTAGATATCATACATTTATCCATTTCGCGTGTGCGTATGCGTATCTTTTCCTCCTCGCGTCGTCGCGAGGCTTTCGCTCTTCTCGCGCCTCGTCCGCGCACGTTGGTCTCGCCTGTTTTTACGTTGCGTCTCCGTCGCGCGAACACGCAACTTTTCCTTTCGCTCCTCCACTCCCCGTTCTCCCCCTCCTCTCACCCCCTTCGATCACCCCTCGCGGCAGCTCCTCTGTCCCGCCTCTCTTTCTCTCCGTTTTGCATCTCCTCCTTCGCTGCTCGCGTCTTTCTACCTCTCCCTCCCCCCCTCTCTCTCTCTTTCTCCGACCATCCCCATCTCGCTCTCTCCCCCATATCGCCCGTCCGAGCACAAATAAAGTCTCTCGCTCTCTCTCTCTCCCCTCGTGCCGCGAGAGGAGGACTCTCGCCCCGTCCCCCCCTCCCCAACGGCTTTTTCTTCCCCTCCCCAGGCTCTTCTACATTAGTCTCTCGTTCGTGTCCCCTGATCGTGTGCGATTTTCATTCGAAAATAGAACGTCAGCGCGCGTGCCGCGCGCGCATTTTTGCCGCGAAAACTGCGAATTCCCGTGAGCGAGCGAGCCCTCGGGCCCGACGCAACGACCGGGGGCACGTCGTACCCCCCCCCCCCTCAAACGTACGCGTCCCGACCTGCGTTTTGCTAGAGTTATGCGACCACCTCCGCAGCGAGGCACGCGTGCACGCGTGCACTCGCGCGCTGGGCGCGTCTCTTCCCCTCCCACCGCCCCGTCCCGATCGTCGCGTATTAAGCCAGCGGCACACGGTACTGGTTTTCCTGCCGGATTGCTTACGCGAGCCAATCGGGATTTAGCCTCGAGTCACCTGATCGAAAACTCCGTGTCCTTATTGGCTCTCGTGAGCAGTCCAGTAGGAAAGGTAAGTGTATCGTGCGCCGTTTGGCTTTAATCTCGCGGAAATCGCGAGAGGCCCTCGCGTAGCCCGCGCGGACGACCTGGGAAATTTAATGAGCGTCGTCGTTATGCCGATGATAATGCGCCGCGACACGCGAGCTGCGACTAATTTGGAACGGTTCTTCGAATCGCGAGGCATAACCCTTCGTCGTTTTCAGGCCGATCCGAGGTTATGTCGCGATACAATTGCCGTTGAATTAAGACGCCCGTAACGGCATGGCAGTGCGATGTTAAGCCAACGGCGCACGATACTATTTTTTCTATTGGACTGCTTACGAGGAGCCAATCAGGGTTTAGCTTCACGTCACCTGATCTGAAACTCTGCAACCTGATTGGCTCTCGTAAGCACTTCAGTAGGAGAAATAGTACCGTGTGCCGTTGGCTTTAATCCTGATTGGCTCTCGTAAGCAATCCAGTAGGAAAAATGATATCGTGTGCCGTTGACTTTACTCGTAATCTCTCGACATTTCCGGATATTCAAGAATTTAATCGCGGTCTCCCTCAAGGCGCGTACCCACGATGCTAGAACTCGGTCCAAGTTCTAGCTCCGAGAAGTGTGTAGCCAATCAACTTGCAGCTTTTATGGAATAGAACTTGGACCGAGTTCTAGCGTTCGCGGACACGGGCCTTTATGCACGTTTCTATCAAGGCAGATTAAAGCCAACGGCACGCGGTACTATTTTTCCTACTGGATTGCTTACGAGGGCCAATCAGGATTTAGCCTCGAGTCACCTGATCGAAAACCCTGCATCCTTATTGGCTCTCGTAAGCAATCCAGTGGGAAAAATAGTATCGTGTGCCGTTGGCCTAACTTTAGTCTCGGTTTGAATTATTTGTTTTCTTTTTTTCTAATTCGTAAAACTAGAAAGGGATGTAAAGTGAGTGGAACCGAGATTGAACTGCGTTGGTAAAAACGGGCATTAGACGGGCGGGATAAAAGTTCAATTAGATATGTCGTAATTAATCGAAAAAGATCCGTGAATCTATTAGAATTCATCGAAGCTTTAACGTCCGACGAGAAAATTTTATAAAACTGTGTAAAAATGAAGTAATTTATTCGATATTATGTTACACTAACCGATATCTGGACATCACGGCGAGTACGTCTATAAATATAAGTGGCGATAAACCGAAATCCAATTAGATCCTTCATGAATCTGTAAAGTGCATTCTTTCTCCTCGAATTTACCACAATTTTTCGCGAGATTACGTTGAAAATCGAAAAACTCTCCAACGGGGTTTGAAAAACGCTCTCCCAAAAAGCAGCCGTGAATCGCCGAGCGGATTCGTTCAATTCACAAGTCGCGCTCCGTTCCGCGAATCAAGTTCCGCCAAATTATCCGCCGTGCTGCGGGATAAAACGCGTCACGTAACACAAAGGTGAACGCCTGTCCTCCCGTCGAGCAGAGGCGCGTGGCAGACGCGCCGCGATATTTTGGCGGGAGAGTCGTAAAAATAGTGCCTCCGCGGTTTCCTTCCTTCAGCTACGGGACTATAATTAGCAGGTATTCCGCGTTTTACGTACGGCGGATACACGCGTGTTCGCGCGAGCGCGAGCGCGAGAGAGCGTGCGCGCGCGCGCGCGCACGCGTGATCTCGCGACGGGATAAGAAGATCAATCGGCCGCAACGCGTGCCGGAACGCGCGAGCGTGCGTCCACCGCGCGGAGATACCGCGACCCCCGAGTCGAAATTTTGCTACTATTTTGACACTTTTAAGAATAATTTACACCTACTTAGCTGATCTATACACCTACATAGACCAGCAATAACCTACTTTGATATGATACTATATTTTTTTACTCCTCCCGCGAATCTTTAATTGTAAAAATTTACTTGAGCTCCTACTTAAAAGGATCACCTACTTTGATGCCAAATTGGCAAAAGTAGAAATTTCCGACACCATCAGTTTTAAAGTAGGAGTAAATTTTGTACAGTTCGACCTCTTTTACTGTCTTAGGTCCTACTGTATAATAGAATTGAAGGTTGAACTTAGGGCCAAAATTTCGACTCGGGAATTTACACCTACATAGACCAGCGATAACTTACTTTGATGACATTATATTTTTTTTACTCCTCCCTCGAATCTTTAATTCTAAAAATTTACTTTCGCTCCTACTTAAAAGAACCTAGTTTAATGCTAAATTGGCAAAGGTGGAAGAAATTTCCAACACTATCAGTCTTAAAGTAGGAGTCAATTTTGTACGGTTTGACCTCTTTTACTCCTACTATATTATACATATAATAGAATTAAAGGTTCAACGTAGGGCCAAAATTTCGACTCGGGACGACCCAATCGTTATCAACCGGCGTACACGAATCTCGCATTAGATGTACTGCGCTCCGGTGTGCGTCCCGTCTTCCTCGAGGTCCCTACCATGCCGACTCTTCGCCACTAGAAATTGGAGGCGATACCGAGTCTCGTGACCTCGCTGCGGAACTTCGGGGCGTTTTGGGAACTTCACGAAAAGAATCTCTCCGCGGCACCCGCGGCTCTCGGCCCCGATCCAAGTTGGAGACAATTGAGAGGCACCGGCCTGATTTATTTAGTATGAACGATTTTGAAAGTGAAAAAATAATCCGCGTAACGAAAGTAAGTAAATTGACGTCTCGTGACTTTTATCTCGAGATTGTAAAAGCTCTCCTTCGCGCACGGTCGGCGAACGCTCGGGGACACTTTTAGTTTAGCATAAATAATTGCCGTGTGTGACTTATTTATACATGTCAGAGGTGAAAATAATAATTACTTAGACATAAATGCGACTTTTTCATAATTTACACCGAAATGACAAATATTTCAGGCCGTTTATTACATTGAACGAAGTGCAAACTATTATTATCGTCTTCTTTATACCCTGATGAAATATGTAGAGATTGTCGGCGAAGAAAGAGAGAGAGAGAGAGAGAGATCTCCTCGACAAAGTGCCGTAATCTTTTTCGAAAGCGGCCTCGATAATAGAATTATCGGCCGCGTCCGATCTGATTTTTACCGCTTTTGTACCGCGTGTCGCAGCGACGATGACGACGATGGCGACGACGCGAAATGATGACGACTGGGTACGACCCGGCCAACGGCGCGGCACCGCCGAGACAGCCGATCGGGCACAACAATGTCCGCGCGGCGCGTGCTCATAAAAATAGCATTTTCGCGGTTTCTCCCTCCTTACGGCTATACTTAGCCCCGGGCACCGGTGTCCCTCGGCGTAGTAAACAAATTTCAGGAGGGTCGACCCTCGTGTAACGAGAAGCGCCGTCCGTATATTCCTCACTCACTCGGCCCGTCTATTTTTTCAGCGCGCGTGTCTTAAATATTTTTCGAGGTAGCGCTGCGAATTTTCGCCGTGTCGCGGTTCACGAGAATATTCCACATATAATTATGTCACTGTGTACGCGAGGCCGCGAGCTGTCCGAAAATTCGCCCGGCGGCCCTCTTTTTCGGCGTCGGGAATTGAGAGAAATTTCGGGAGATTGACTTCGGTGCCCGCGTGTACAAATTGTACTCCGGCATTCGTTTTAGAAATGTCGCGGAGTTGCGAGGTAATCTAGAAACGAACGATTGAAAGTAAAAAGATGTTAACGAGTTAAATTCCAAGATTATAGAGAAACTAAATTTCAGCTAATTTCGAGTGGAGTTTAATAGTTATTTGGAGCTTAACAGCTATAGCCCCCCCCTCTCTCTCTCTCTCTCTCTCATTTCCCTTTATATTTCCTCCGTTACACTTTTAGATCAGTCACTCCCATCTAGACGCTCGTATTTCTGTGTTTCTTCGCTCTATGCAGATGGCTTGCCGTGTCACCTTTATTATGCCCAGGGATTAGTTATTTAAGCTATTTTGCTGCTAGCGAGAACAAACGGTGCATAAGCATTTGAAATATAAAGCACGCGAGAGCGGTCGATTCTTTTCGCGATGCATTTCCAGAACCGGAGCGTTGATTAATGAATGGGGTATCGAAAATGTAATAACCTATTAGAGATGAAAATCGAAAACCTAGCTCGCTGTGTATCGTGATAATATAACGATATTTTGCGGCGCATAAATGATACTTACCGATATCAGGAGATATTTTCAAAGTATCCCCGCGGCTATGAAAATACCTTAGGACGTATAAATTATTATGTAAAAATAGCGATACCTCCCCCGATAGGCCTCTATAGCGATTATTTCAGCCGTCTGTTTTTCTCTCGAGATGAATTCCCCGGTGGGCCTTACAGGAAATGTATGTTTGGTATTCGCATCGAGAGACACGCATGCACCATTACATCCATACTCGCGCTCGTTATTGGACTGTTTAACCCTTCTACTCCCGACGGGATAATTGCGTCCTGTGAATAATTGGCGGCAAACGATACACATGAACTTGGTATTGATCATGTTAACATCTCACGTTAACTAACTAACACCAGCTAAAAGTATAAATGAAATTTTGTAAACGTTTATCTTAATTTCCCCCGCACGTATCATATTTTACAATCAAATGTCAAAATCAAACTCTATTAAAATTCTGTTGTGACGGTTAATTAAAGGAGGAATATGGTTTCGTTAATTTAATTGGTGCAATATTAAACTCGAACGGTTTGATACATAATTTTTTTTTCTGATACAATTAACAATAGAAAATTAAAATAACAGCTCATTCATTTAGCTGCACGTATCGAACGATGTGAATTAAATTTCGCGAAGAAACAAGGGGTGACTCCCGACCTGGTAGAATTTCGACGAAAGCGTGTATTAAAAAAATATTATTTGCGAAAGAAGTAAAATAAATTCAGATACAAATCTTATGTCGAGTACTGTGTGCGTCGAATTGAGAAATGACGGAAAGGAAGACGGAGCAAGGCGAGAAAGAAGCGCGCGTTTACGAAAACGAGGTGTCCGTTAGACAAAGGATTAGATAGAAAGGTCTATCGATCCACTCATGCTCAGGCTCGAATCGTCTTGCTTGTTTCAGATTGCGCTGTAGTCCTCCGAACGCTATTTGGATAGCGTGTGCAGACAGCGAGGGCGCGGAGAGGGAAGCGGAGGCGTGAAGCGCGAGCGGAAGATGCCGCGCGTCGCAGCCGGGCAACGTCGACGCGCCGTGCATCGTCGGGACACGAGTCGCGGCACCGACTGTTCGCGGGGTGCGCGATGATGGCGGAATGCCCGTGGACAGGGTGCACAGTATCGTACGGCCCGTCGATCGAGCGCAACAGGGGCAGCAGCACGTGTCTAGGACGCGCGACTGGATAATAAATGCCAGAACGGCACGACGCCGGCACGAGCCGTGGTGGATCAAACGTGGGGACGCGAGACACAATCGTCGAATGCGGGCAGGTGCACGAGGAGGACCGCTGGATCGCGTGGTTGCATGTGAATCGCGAGGCAGAGGAGGAGGAGGAGGAGGAGGAGGAGGAGGAGGGGGAGGAGGGGGAGGAGGGGGTGGAGGAGGAGGAGGAGGTGGAAGAGGGGAGGAAGAACGACGACAAGGCTCACCGTCGCGAGCGGATCGCGGACAGCCGGATTGAACGGCCGCCTCGCGGATTCTCATCGCGCGGCAGGGGGTAGCGGGAGCCACCACGGGGGCGGGGGTGGGCTTGCCCCTGCTTCTTCTCGTTGTTGCTCTTCTCGACGATCTCGCGCACGCGACGACGGCCGCGCCGGTGGTAATCGGGCCGTTGAACAGCGTCCATCCAGCCGACGCCGCCACGCCGGCTCACCTGCCGTCGCGATCGCCCGACGACTATCCGTTCGCGCCGCGCCCGTTCCGGTGGGCGATTGAGCGCGCGTCCAGCCCTAACGACGTCGGTTCGGAAGGTGACGCGAATCGGGGAACTCTGGATCATCTTACATCGGCGACGCGCCTTTCACCCTCGTCCGCGCCGTCCTTGACGTCACCCCTGTCATTAGCGTCGCCGTTATTGTTGACACCGCCGCTGTCGTCGTCGTCGTTGTCGTCGTCGACGTTATCGAGGCCGTCGCCGTCTTTAACGCCGTTGAATGCCGCCGTCGTCAGACGTGGCGACATTTCCATTCTGACGGCGAATTGTGACAACGAGAACGAAGGGATCGCAGCGCGACGAGGAAGAGCGAAGCGAGTACCGATAAGCAAGAGATCGAAGCTGAAAGATCAACCCTCCCCGAACTTCATAGACCCTTGGCCGGAGGCATGGCGACGTGTTAACCAACACCCTCTGCAATCTCGCAAAGTGACACCCGTGTCGTCAATCGATGAAGGGATTCGCCCTGCAGTCCGGACTTTCACTCCGCTGTTAGAGCCCGTCTTCAAGTTTGGGGAATCGATATTGCGTCCGGAGAGCTCCCTGCGAGACATCCTACTTCACGAAAGTGCTTCGAAGACAACGGCGACGACGACGACGGCGGTGGTGGCGACGGTGGGAACGATCGCGCGGAACGTCGCGTACCTCGGTGCGACTCAGCGAGCCGGAAGCGCCGCGCCAGAGAAAAATGACGTCGGCAGAGTGACCGAGGACCGAGTGGAAGGTGATAAGAGCGGGAACAAGTTGGTGCTCGTGGGAAACGAGGATAATGGTGCGGTCGTAGTTGGTGGTGATAGTGTCATCGAGTGGACCACGACAACAGTCGCCGGGCCGATGTCATCGTCGCGGTCGGCGTTCTCCGGAGACGATGTGCAGGTGGCCGAGCGCGTAAGGGTGCGCGCGAGTTCCGAGCGAAGCTCATCCAAGGGCGAGGAGGACGACGAGGAGCAGATCACGGTCACCATCGCGCGCGACAACGAAGATTCGTTTGCATCGTCGACGACGACGACGACGACGACGACGCAGCATCCACCACTGACTCAAGACACCTCTATGGAAGCACGTGAGTATTACATCTGAATAAGACAAATGTCTCGCTTAACGTTGAAAGGATATACAGCGGCATGTGGAGCTAGCCGCTTTTCGAAAAATTAAAAAGAAAATTGCTCTTTGCACAGAAATACAGTAGAAAGTTTTCTGTATTACAAACGAAATATACTGCGTTAAAGCGTATTATTGAAAATGTTTGAAAAATCTTGTTATACAATATTGTTCCCTAAAAAATTTTTATCTGCGGAATGTACATGTTATAACCATATCCTTTCAAGTGAGCGAGCTGTACTTGAAACGTTGATTCCGAAGGGGAAACCGCTGACCAAAATCTTGTACACCAATGCCCACTAATGCTCACTGGGCATTACTTTATCTTGTTATCTTATTTTATATTTATAATGCCCAGCTATGCCGCAAATCGGTACACCACAATGTCCTCAGCGGTTTCCCCCTCGGTTCATTCATAAATGAGAGATATTAGAAAATCAATGCTCGACCACGTACGTTTGAAGAAATGCCGAGGGGGAAACCGTTGACCAAAATCTTGTACACCAATGCCCACTAATGCCCAGTGGGCATTACTTTATCTTATTATCTTATTTTATCTTATTTATCTTGATTTATCTTATTATATCTTTATAATGCCCCAGCAAGGCCTAATGCCCAAAAAATGCCTAGTAATGTCCAGCAATGCCCTCAGCGGTTTCCCCCTCGAGAAATGCTTAACTGATTGTTTCAAATTATATTATAATCGCCAATTTTAATTGCAATGCGCAAACCTCCGCCGGCAACAAGTTTCGTCACCCGCGTTCGTTTTCGAGTTAGAAAATAAGAAATAATTTTCGAGGCACTTTGAAAGCCGGGCATTCTATGCAAAGCAACAAGGCAACCTCTCGCTTTGATCCTTTAAACGCATCTGAATGTGACTCGCGCGCACATCCTTTCGCCGGTCTACCGCTTCGCTAAAATCCCTCCGGATCACCGGTTCGCATGCGAATAGCGCCCATGCTCGTTTTGCCATGCTCGGGCCCGTGTTTACAGGAACTGCAGGATCCTTCGGTCAGAGTTATTTTTAACTATTCCAACCGTGCACGCGGGCCACCTTCCCCATTCCGGTCCTCCCTCGCGCTCCTTTTTTTCTCTTTTGTATCTTCTCGTGCATCACCTACCGCTACCTTTCGTTCACGACGACCAGAACAGAAATCGGAGCACTGCTCGCGTCCATATTTCCGGCCGGGCCGACAGAGAAGAGAAGGCAACCTCTTCGAATTCGCTCGCTTCTTTTTTCCCTTTTCTTTGTTTCACAATTATACTTTTTCTATTTTTTCTTATACTCTTCCTCGTGCGCGCGTACAGGATGACAATTTTTCAGATAGCTCTCGCGCTCGTTCAATACTTTATCCATTACATCACAAATCCATTAATCAAACCTTCGATAACGAAAGAGTAATCAATGGTGCATATATATTTTTTTCTTAATTATTTTGTTATTAATATAATGTCCACCGATACCGACGTTAAAACCAGACATTTTCGTGTATCAGCTTAGAGCAGCAAATATAATTTTCAGTGTATAAAGAAGCTTTCCACAGAGTTAATCTGTTTTGCGCGTAAGCACGATGAATTTATCATGCGCCATCACAGGTCAGATTAGAATTAAGATAAATGTGCCAAGCATCAGTGTGCCAATGAAAGAGGTAGGACGGAAATAGAGAGAGAGAGAGTCGATACATACAGGCCGCACAGTTCGCGTGTTTTATCTCATGTTTTTGATTACGTCTGACTACGTACACGAGTCGTGACTCCGCGTACAAATCAGTCGATTAGTTCCTTGGCGCGGCGGCCGAACGTGTACTTCTTTCATTTTCCCCGTCCTCACCCCTTTTACACCCTATCGCGCCTGTCGCCTACTGCCCCTCTCCCTCGCGTGCGAATTATACAGCGACTATAATGCCGGACGACTACAACGATAGGCACGACAATTGAATCCCCGTCACCGACGACGGCCGTGCTTAACTTTCGATTCACGTACGAGAGGCAAAGAACGAGGCTTGAGCAGCTCGTCGTTTAAATTTAAGATTGACGTTTCCTTTACAAATTAACTGCAAAGAGATATCTCATTACCCATTAGCGAGACATTCGCCATAGCTCGATTCACGATTCATACGTCGTAATTTTAATAAGGACTAAGACGTTGTTTGATTTTCGACCCTTCGTTACATTATTATCTTGCGAATGGTTACGAAAGTACCGACACACTTTGCGCGTAGGTCGTCGGCAAGTTAAGGTACGCTGGTCGCAATTTATTTATATCTAGACAGGGTTGGGAAAGTTATACTTTATAAAAGTATCTAGTTACACAGTTACAGGTTTTTTCGCTAAAAATTTAACTAGCTAACAGTTGCAGTTACTCACAAAGTAACGAATCGTTACTTCGCAGTTACTTTCTTGCAATGAAAATAAAAATTTTTAATCTGCATTTGAATTGTAAAGCGTTAACAAAGGCGTTTATGCGCAAATGCAAGGCCTAATGCAATTTGTGGAGGTTTAAAAAATATATAAAGTAACTAGTAATGTAACTAATTAAATTAGTTGTCGAAAAAATGTAACTGAGTTAAGTTACAGATAGAGAGAAAGTAACGGAGTTAAGTTAGAGTTACCAAAAAAAAAGTAACTGTAACTGTAACTTCGTTACAAGTAACGAGGTACTTCCTAACCCTGTGTCTAGGAACATGTGCCGTCGCGTTAACTTAACGATCCGTCTCGGTAAAACCTTCCAATAAGACTTTGTCGACGAATTTTTAGACCGATCCCCGCGCTGAAATGCACACTGTCCGTACATTTGTATCATTACTTAACGCGTTTATTTCCGTGCTCCTGCAAGAGAGCGCCGAGTCGTCCTTCTCTTTTACGATCTAATTCGTGATCTGGACAGTTCCCAACGATGAGTTCTCGTGACTGCGCGATGCCCAGTATACCCGGTATAAGAGGAATGACTAAATGGTCTGAGTAACCGGTCAGGCATCCCAAAACTCGCGATTTATTTTCGTATCCCTAGAAAAGAACTGACGCACCGGTGGAGAGAAAGTACTGTTCGTTGTATGAATTCAAAGAAATACCCCAGCGGACTAACGCGTATTCTTTACGAAAAACCCACCGAGAAGACTAATTTTAGCAATTACCGCATTCTCTCTTCATGCTGTACATTACAATGCTATAATTAGTATAATTAACGCATCCTCGCAGATTCAGGGAGAATCGTAAAGTACACCCGAGTCGAAATTTTGGCCCTATGTTGAACCTTCAATTCTATTATACAGTAGGACCCAAGACAGTAAAAGAGGTCGAATTGCAAGTACAAAAGTTACTCCTACTTTAAAACTGATGGTGTCGGAAATTTCTACTTTTGCCAATTTGGCATCAAAGTAGGTCCTTTTAAGTAGAAGCTGAAGTAAATTTTTAGAATTAAAGATTCGAGGGAGGAGTAAAAAAAATATAATATCATCAAAGTAGGCTATCGCTGGTCTATGTAGGCGTGTATGTAGATCAGCTAGGTAGGTGTAAATTAGCCTTAAAAGTGTCAAAATAGTATCAAAATTTCGACTCGAGCAATATCTCCTTAAATGCAGTTGCGTTTTTTTTCAATATAAATTCGCAGCGTGTGCACGAAAACTCAGAAGAGATGAAACTTTCGCGATTTGAGCCTCCCGAATCGAACGAATTAGAGAATTACACCTTCGCGCCGAGCGGTATACGAAGGGCGAGAAATTTAGAGCGATCGACTGGGCAATTTCCATCGGTCCCTTGGCTGGCCGTGCGTCGCGCTCATGTTGCGACGTATATCTCCGGGATTCGAGGCCGGTACGACGCGTTAAGGGTGGTGGCAACGGCAGCCGGTAGGGTTACCGCAGAACAGGGGGCCCTGCGGGCGAAGAGCGAAAGGGCTTCGTCGCTATGGAAACCCTGGCTCTTCGACTACTGTGGGGTGCCTCAAGTTTTTTATGGCCCGAACGATCGTAGGGTCGAGACTCTAAAAATCGTTACACAGACCTAGATACTCGCCACCTCCCCCCACCCTCCCCCGAGACGGCCGCCCTGTAACACTCGCCACCCTTCCGGTCACGGACCTTACGCAACAGCGTTTCCGCGCCGCGTCGTCTCGCTAATTGCTATCGAACAATTTTTTACGGACGTCGGATGTTAAATATTTGTGCGTCGAGGACGTTCATATCTCGTTCGCCCCGTTGCAAGCGTTTAATCGAGGGGTATCTAAGAATTATTCATCTCTAGCGAGGATTAGATGCGACTAGGTTTTGCGACAGTAAGCGACTTCTTATCTCCGTAGACTTCGACACTTCGATAAAATATGCACACGCTGCATATTTTCGCTCTATGAATATCCTGTAAGAGCCTTGATTATTTCTGCTACAGGAAGATTTAAGAATATCTTATAATACTTTCTAATTATATACGCACTCTAACAATAAATTTACAATGAGCGAAGTGGACTATAAATGTCTCGCAACTTTTAAATCATCTTTGGAAATACTCGAATATCAATGCGAGCTATTCTTAATAATCGAATATACACCGCATAAAAAAACTTGCTTTTTTTATCAATTTTTATTCGCGGTGTAAAATTTAGACTTCATAAACTTTCTAGTTTTATATATTCTTCTATAATTCTGCCCTCCATCGAAATGGCAAGCGCGGCACGTAATGAGATTCGAATTAATATTTATACGTTGAGCTCGAAAATTGAATTATTTATTAGAAATAAAATTCCGAAATCGATCTCCCGTCATTTGCCAAATGTTGATTGGTACATTTTTTCTCGAGTCATCCACTTCTACGCGCTCTACTCCTCGTGTACGTAGAGGACGTTCGCAGACCGACGGAGCTTCGCGATACGCCGGTCGTATTTGCGCGCGCGGCGATGGGCAGAAAGGGCAGGAGGAAGCGATGTAAAGCCCCTGGTGCTCTTGGCACCCTCCACGGCGGCTCCTAGCG